TGCTGTTCGAGGAATCCGACTTCACACGGAAGGAAGACGGCTTTCAGAATAGAATTCTTCAGATGTGAAAGACGGAACCAGAGGCTTTTCGCCAGGTCACAATTTCCTCCCGAAACAATCGACTGCCTCTTCGCACTGAATTGCAGACACCGTCCATCAAACAGCCTCTGACGTCGTTGTGGCAATGATAAGAGGGCTGGAGCCCGAAGCTGACTAGCCTCAACCTCCACGCCCCTCGGACGCCAGGGTAAAGTTCCTCTTCGATCCGTGACACTTCTTCCGTTCAGGTGCAATGGAATTTACGGTCCCCTCCGGATGTCATGTTTATGCAGTGTATCTCCTGGCCGCTGAGGTCACTCAGTGCGACCACGCGCATTCGCTGCGCTGTCGGGAGTTCCTTGCACACGCTGATTTATCTGTGATGAACTGCAGCTGACGGTCTCCTCAACTTCTCTTGGCGACGATGTATCAATTGCAGTTGAACCGAAGCCTCAACGCCTTTACCACACATTCACATATGACGTCATGTCATGACGTAACATATGTAGTGGTGACGTAATGAAGAGACTCGCTCAGCTAGCTGCGCTGAAAATGTCTTAGAAAAACCCTTACTGGGGTTTAAAGGCACGAACCTAAAATCAACTGAGCTTCTACGCGCCCCTTCAAAATATACCACAACGTGACATTTTAATCTCGACACCAAATATTTTGTCGTGAGATTAAAGTTTTGAAAGCGGGAAAATGTGACATTCTGTATTTTATTTCAGTTTTTGACCACCGTGGCGCTGTAGTGCTGGTAAACTGTGAAAAAACCAAACATGTCGTAAATCGTTTTATGCATTGCCCAGCAACAAACGGCGCGAACTAGGGATTTTGCTCTGGAGACTGCGCAGAAGGTAGAATCGGCTTCTTCGCAACGAATCTCGGTCGATAACAATAACCAATACGACAGTACAGCGCCCCGTGAAGGGTGCCACCGCGGTGAGACGTAGAACTACAAATAAAGCCTCAGGCTCCGGCCGTCTTAGCAGCAGGGAAACATTCCATTGAGAGGAGATGATTCCTCAGGGGCAGCCCACTCTCTGGATGCGCTGACAAAGGTAAACGTCACTCTCAAAAGGATCAGCGGGTGACATTTCGGCTGTAATTCGGTTTTAAAGTGACTTCTTTAATTATTCTTAGTGACAGTGGTTGGGATCGAACCGGAGACCTTTTGAATGACGGGCTAATACGCTAAACTACCCTGGACCACCCGGGTGACTCTAGAAGTCTATTTCTGTTACCCACCACATTCCAAATCCGACAGAACAGCGAGAATGTGACTGAAGTCGACCAAGATACGAGCGAACAGATGAAGAAAATTCAAATACATTCGCTGTCCATGAGGTTACTACGGCTAGTAATTATCAGAGATTTGTTTTTTCGCTGACAAGGGGTACATAGAGCTTTCGACTCACTTCGTACGGATTCCAGGCCCAAACGACACGTCGTCCTGAATACAGGAGCCAGTGACATTGACTGTTATGGGTCAGGACACCGACGTCAACATATTCGTCAGGCGGTGGGCATTAAGTGACGATGCTCCTACCTGGTACAGGAGTACCCACGGGCTGACCGTCGAGGGAATTCTCACCCGCGACGCTGGCCGAAGATTCTCACATCTGCAATGAAGAAAACCGGGGGTTTAGACCGGACCCTCGTTCAGTTGGACGCAATTGAAATACATTTTTAAAATTCAGTTTAACATCACACTTTCATTACGACTTAAACACAAAGTTAAGTTACGCATGTTCATCTCATCTCACACCCCTTGAGTAAATCTGCCAAAGATCATGGATGGGGGAACGGGGGCAGAAACTATGAAGTGAATTATCTTTTTAGTTTTCCGTTGCCTGGTTCTTCCTTCTTAAATTATCTGTACCAATCCATGGCAGTTCGCGTAAGAATCGAAAGCTAATCACAACACAGATGGGTTTGTAAACGGTGGTGCGCGTTCGTTGGTTTAACATTCTGCAAGTGTAGGGCATCGTGACAACGCTACGGAACTGTTCAGCTCCACGGCAGCATCCAGTTATTTTCCGCTCCGTGGACATCCGGTGGCAGTGACACTTCGACTTCCGGGATGACAGTCCGTTCATTCGGGTACACGTAACGGGAGTCGCGGTGTCTCCGAGAAGTTCGGGCTTCGGCCCCGCGAGAGGCGTGACTGATGGATGTGGCTTCAGGTTCGTCGTCTCCTTTCACGAAATGTTACCTCGGAAACTACGAATCTCTAACTCTGAGACAAGGTCCATGCAAACTAAGATTCTAGGAGGGAAATCGAACTCAGAGCCCGAGGCGGCGCGAGTATCGAATAAAACTACCACCTGGATCGACGTGACCGAAATTCTCAGCAGACAATTTGCTTGTCCAAGGGCATGGCCACAAACATTGGCTGAAATTAACAAATTTCATTCCAACAGCGAAAAGAACTGCGAAATACTGAGTTGGGATATTTATACGTTTTTTTTTCCACACATCACACTTATATTTAATACTAAGTGTCCAGACAAAATTATTCACGTTTGTCTCCTGTCGTGGGATACTGCACGACGTTTAATCAAATTATTTAATCTGATTTAGAAGCGAGAATACTAAGACCCTCTAATTTGGTTACAAATCAAAAAATCAATTTCATGTCTGAGGACACTTTTCCAAAATCTGAGTACTTAGCACCAAAAAAAATAAAAAAATTATTATCATATTAACCCATTCACCTATTGTCGGTAATACCGTACAGTGGATCATAAAATGGATCACTTGATTCAACAAGAAAATATTTTACCTTCTTCAAAGCAGCCAGACAATTTCCTTAGCCTCTCTAATCACGAGAATAAAAATTACATTTTCAGATTCTCCATTTTTCGCGTTTTCACGTGGCACGTGGGACAAAACAGACTTCGAAGGACATCGCACGAAGCAGTCGCCGATCTGTCCACTGTTCACTTCGTCTTCGGCGTAATTTTCAATCCCTACCGTCGTCCAGAAACATTTGAACCTGGTCGCAGTCTCAAACTATTTAATACAATGACCAACTAAATGCTGTCTCCTGACGAGGCGTGATCACTCGATTAGTTATGACGTCTCCTTCCAGATCAGTTTCTTTACTCGCGTCTGAATAATCATAACCAAAATTATCATCACGCCTCCGTCTGGTCCTTATAAAATCATGCATACAAACAACTGTTTACACTTGAAAAATCACCAATTCCAAACGCGTTTCGACCTCAAGAGGTCATCATCAGTGGAAAAACAAATTAATTCATATAATATAATTCAAAAGACTGTGGTTTTCTACAGAGCATAAAAGGTGTGTACTTTACAAAACCTCACTGGACGATAATTGCAAAGGAGTTGGTGTACTAAATTGAGTACTTAGCTTCTATGTCCGGTGGTCTGATTGCCGTAGACTGCACGGGATGCAAGGTTTTTTTATGATTCTGGCCCTTGGTTTCCCAAAATGAGTGATTCCGTTGACATCTCTTCCGAAAAAGAACTGAGTATTGGCTATGTCTTTTCGTGCTTCACGTCTAACCCACCGAAGTCATTCAAATCACCACAAAACCACGTCCGTTCTGAACACATTTAAAAAAAGAAAGAGTTGACGTTGACAAAGCGAAAAAAGGGAATTCTGTCGCGTGTCCAAATAACGCGCACGGGTCAATTTAAATCCGTAGCTGTCAGTTCCGGGGTTCGAGCTGCCGCAAGCAGAGCACTGACAGATCCGTCGAGAGAGACGGAGTTACTGTACACCGCGATTGGCCGTCGGAACGAAGAGACGGGTTCCTATTGGCTGTGTGTGACGTCACATCCCCTTGCGGCCGCATGGGGAGATGGAACCCGGCTTCCACAGGTATTTCAAAAGTAGTCCAATAAGAACAGGTGTTATTGTTGCAGCGAAGCTGGGTCTACGTGGACGCCGTCGCAGACAGACGTGCGTGCGTGCGTGCGTGTTTTTGTTTTGTGTGTGTGTGTCAGTCTAAGCAAGAAGCATCAGGAGAAGAAGGCGGCTGAGCGGCTGTGTCGCTCACAGGCGGAATGGCTGATTTCCACGAGGTAAGTCGTCGTCGTCTTCTCACAGCGGATGTGGATTCTCCAAGTGCGTTCGTTGAAAAGTCAAGTTTTCGGGAACCCAAGGCGAAATGTGTTTCTCAGATTCCTTTAAATGACTTCTCCGACTGTTCTACTTAAACGTTACACCCCCTCACACATCACATGGCACCCGCGTGAGACGATGCCTCTTGTTCTGCGACATTCGAAGGTACCGGTTCTCCCTCATCTGGGTTCTCGCGCCGTGTAGCCTGGAATAACTTTTCCGAAGTTTCAGAAGTGCTTCCTGCTTCAATCATCGCCATGATGATGGAGGCAGCAAGTTCCTCTAAGCCGCCGGTAATCTTCTACAACCCAGAATACAGCGGTCTTGTCGCCGTGAGAATTTCAAATCCTTCTCCGTATTTATTTCTCAATGTGACAGCTAAGAAAACCAAGAAAAAGCTTTCATGAAATTGTTTGGAAGTCAAAATTGCTTTTATCATGGTGTAAAAATGACACGTTATAATTTCTCTCTGCTTTTAAAACGTTCCGTCTTCATTGACACAGTACAGACTTCATACTGACCGTCAGAGAAATCTTATTCTTTTTCGGTTGTGTCGCCTTATTATTCTGTGTGTACGGATTACCTGAGGAAAATATCAATCCATCTTTCCATACGAAGTGCATTTAACTAGAAATCTCTTAAACAAACTACATTCTTCCATCGGATTTCCAGAAACAAAATGACGCGTAACGAATGCAAATGCTACTTTATTTGTCGGATTGGTACATGGCTCGTTCTGTACCGATTTCGTGGAAGTCTTCCTGGAAGTGAACGCTCTTTTCTTCTCAAGCAAACGACGCTGATCCGATATTTTAAGGGGCGTAATTATTCTGTATCCTCGGAAGAAAATTTAAATTCCGAAGCAAGTCACAGTTGGTCCAAAGCCCCGAACAACAATTCTTCCACAACGTCCTAGCTAACCACGAGGTAAAAACAGACTTTCGACAGGCAACGTCCAGACGACGTTTCTACTTCATCTCGGTCGCCAGCAATTGCTCTAGTTTAAACTTCTACATGAAGGCAAAGTTGCGTGTCGGCGAAAATACGTAATAAATTACTGATAGGAATGACACAATAACACAGACTGCATTAATTCCTTTGCCTGAGTAATACCCAGGAATTCGTCCTTCAAAAACTCCAAGAAAACGCGAAGACACGTTAAATAAGACACAAAGAGTCTTTACTGTAACCTCATTTCCCTGCTTTAAAATCAGGCCCTTACAGTGTCCAATCAGAACATTCGCGAGCTTGAATGTGGATCGTAAGAATTATGAAGCCTCGAGATGTCTCAATTTTCCTATGAGTTAAATGTAAAAGTGCCCATGCCCTATGAAGACACGCCTACTTGTTGAACAGTTTGGTGCATTTGTCGTATATTCCGTTGAACAATTGAACTTATCAGCTTCATAACTGCTCCTTTCATAAACACGTTTCGCGTGGGATTTTTCTTAATTCTTCGCAACCTGTGGCTGGTTTTTCTTTTTGCGAACGTTGTCATGGGCCTTTGGGGTTCCATAGAAGCGAGCGATCTCTAAACTTCACAGTCTCTGAAACTGTTAAGCCGTGGCTCAAACCAGAGGGCGGTCGCTTCGTCACGGTGAAAGGGCCCCGGGGGTCTTCATTTTGGGCGGTACAGGACTTGACAGTAATTTCTCAGGACCGCAAATGATCCGATTTTGAGACTGCTAGAAGCCAGTCAGGCTTTTTCTGTTCCCTGTGTAGACACGTCATTATTTTCATAACAATCAGCTTATGCCAATAATTATGGGAGCAACTGGGACTGTCTCCAAGTCACTCGGAAAATATCTGGCCAACATTCCGGGCGAACACGACATCAGGGAACTTCAGAAAACAGCCATTTTGGGGTCTTCATACATTTTTCGAAAGTAAAATATATAAAAATGCCTCACGCGAAATCTGTTTATTGCGTGTAACACGTATTAAAAGCAAAATGTATTTCGGAAACAGCTGCTGCACTATGTACCTCAGGGACAAGGTTTTATCTCGGGTACATAGAAGTAAATACCCTATAAAATGGTGAATAGATAGAATAATAATAATAAAATAATATTAATAATAATAAGATTAAGAATAAATGAAATCGGTCGGCCGTCCAACACCACCTCGCCACACCTGGGACCGTGGGCACGCAGCGAATCGGCCTGTCTCCCGCCCGTCCGAGCTCAGTGGCCTTCTTCTGCAAGCAGCCCACATCGGAACGTAATTAGAATATAAGCCTTTATCGTCGCAAGTGCTTTCCGATCAAACGTGAGGGGCAAAGTCTAGTTGCTGTGCAGTTTCTCAGAGGCAATCTTTGGCAAAATCTACCACAAGTCACGCGTCACACCCGTGCGTGTCTCGGGTCGCTGGAAACGTGTGGCAGGAACACTCACGTGTAGAAGCTGATGGTCGCAGATGCAGAAAGCCACGATGCAATTGGGAAACAGCGAGATAAAATCACATTGAGACAGACTCCGTCGAGAAAAGTGCTTTTTTATGAGCCGATAGTAGCTCAGCTAGCCAAAAAAAATTCCAGTATTTTATAGGGAATAAGATTCTTTACATACTGCACTCTGTCCTGAGCCAGATTAGTTCAATCAATACCTTCATGCCACATTTCTCAAGTTCAAACGCCAAATATTTCCGATACTTCAATGCCAATTGACCCCGTAACGGGATGATGTTCATTTTTATATTATTTATTAATTATTCAATATTACGGGGACAAATTATTATTCCTTAACACTTGCTCACCGGGATTCAAACTCAGGAAAGATGCTCTTTATGCCTGTAATCTCTTTCTTGAAACAAAGAATTTATGTCCTGCACTCCGTTCTTCTCTGGTGATTAGATTCCGAACCACAGAAAGGCCCTAATCGGGACTTGAACTCAGAACACTTCGAAGCTTTGACCTCCTTGAGTGCCTAAAGTATCTGTGATTTTCCTCAGGCCCTCCACGAGAACGACACAAAAGCGGAACATTAGGGAGACCAGTGGTTGAAAAGAAACTCGATAATCAATTCGGCGTACTCAGTTTCCTCGCGTGGGGTTTGTCAGAACTCGTGGAACCAGGCGTCGTGCGTCGGCCGAAGACTTTTCGCGAAGGCTCGCGGTGATGCATTGGCGTCAGAGATTCTGTGTTCCTGTGGAGGAGTGTAGTTAGGGTTTGGTGAACGTGTAGACTCAAAGAACAGAACGCGAAAGCGATCCGTGATAACTCTATACGAAAATGAGATCATTTACAACGCCAGCTTTCATTTGGGGGCGCTGAACGCCGACAAAGAACAGCTAATTACCAGCGCTTAAATCTCTACGGTCAGTTATGACAAGCACCCAATCACTCAGAACAATAATTTAGACTTTTGGATCACACATAATCACTGGCGTCGTCTCAAGTTATGAGATTAGGTTAATTGTCTGCGCGTGTGGCTATTAGAGGTGCCTTGCATCTGGGGGACTCTGATGGTGCGGGTCTTTTGACCCTATGGTACAGAGGCCTATGACCCCATATACTCGAATGTTCGGAGTCTGTTGAAATAAGTAGATCCCACGTCCAACTCAACCCGACAGGTTCAAATCGAGGCAAAATCTCTTCAAGGCGTCCTATAACCAAAGACAAGGCTTTCAAGGCTTTAAAAAATCTTACAGTTTCATTGTTTCACTCCCGTCCTGATCTTAAAATTTGTTTTCTGAAATAAATCGTTCGGGCTGGGACACGGGGTCTCTCGCCACAGCGCGGACAAGAGACGAGTGATTTTCTACCATTCATTATTAGTTACAATCGCCCAACTAACTCCATGGAGAAGCTACGTGTAGCTCAGCTGCTCTGGAAAATGTCCAAAGGCGCCAGCCACATCCTATCACTAATTTCCGTAAGATCAATTTTAATATTATACCAAGGTTTCCCGATTAGTCTCTTTTCTACACTTATTCAAACAAAAATCACGTATATATATATATATTTATAATTTTCTCGTTGCATGCTACATGTATAGCCTACCTCATACCTGACATCGTCCTCGACGACGTGGCCTACCGAATCAAAATGGCATTACCAGGTACACGGAAGACATGAAAAGTGTTCGAGAAATGTCACCAGGAAGTTAGGTTCAGAATCTAACCTAACCGGACATTCGGGTTTAAATTACCTTACGTAGCTACAAACCGGCACCAGTCCGGCCTCGTTAGCTCATACACAGTTTGAGTAATGGTCCGTTAAATTGTGGCACATTTCTCATGTTTCTTTAAAAGTTCCAAAACTAATGAATGTGGTGAACAATCACAGGACAACTGTTTTGTAGAGATCAATTTTATTTGTAAAATTTCCTCACATCACAATGAACTAAAATACCAAAAGTTATTAAAATATTCCTTATAGTTTAATGGCCAGGTGTAGCCGGAAATTAAAATATTGTGAAATTTACCTATACTTTGAAATATTGTAAATATTCATAACTTCTGAATGCTATAACATATTTTCCTGATCATTTTTGTAAATGATAGCTGTAAATGAACTTAATAACTAGTGCAAAAATGGAAAACTTTCAACCAAAAGTTTGAGACCTGTGGAAGGGTTACTAAAACAGCATGGTGGTCTTAAATTTTTGGTTGACACTGTACGCGACGTCCCTCTTGATAACCTGACGGTCGCTCAGCTAGTCAATACATTCTTCGTCTTTTCTCAGAACCCGAAATTTTGTTAACCTATCTTACTCTCATGAAGCCAAAACGTGGTGGTGGGGGGGGGGGTTGCCTTACGTTCTTACGGTGAACAGTTGCCAGCCGCCCTCCGGACCGCCGTCAGTTGAGAGCGACGGCCTATTCAGTCTCATCCCTTACGCCTCAATCACTGTCAGAATGATCATGTTCCTGCTTCCAGATGTGGCAAGACATTGAGACGGTCATCCTGGGTGTTGGGGGGCCAATGCACGCACCACACGTGTCAGACGGGATTGCAGAACCGACTTCCCCACTCTACTCAAGCAGAGGAACAAACAACATCCCGGCTACCGGCGGGAAACTCGAGGTGGACTGCGTGTTCCCTGCCACGTCTTGTTCTCCGGTAGAGCCGGGCTACTTCAACGACTCCGGCTGCAAACCTGGGGCAGGAGGCGACCAACAAGTTCCCGTCGTGTCGCCCAACACGTTCTACCTGCCGTCGTCATCCGGGGAGGACGACCTGGGCTCTTGCAAACCAGAGCCGTCGTCTCTCTACTTCCCCCCTGTCTGCGGGAAGATCAAGTCGGAAGCGTCGACGGATCAGCTGTACCTGCATCGGCAGACTGTGGCCGGTTACTCGTACGCGTCAGTGTCGCAGACCTTTTGCCCGCCCTCCTACGGCGGACAGTCTCCTCAGATGTATCCCCCGAATGGCAGTGGCGGATCTCACATTCCTTTCGGACAAATCTCTCCACCGGCCACTCCGGAGACGTGCAGCACTTTCTACCATCACCCGCCAGGCTCGAGCTACGGCGACGTGTACCACAGCCGACACCCGCAGGTCACCCACTTCAAGATCCTCACACCCCCATCGTCTCCACATCTGACGGGACACTTACAGAACGCGGCGGGGCCGTTTCTGGGACCTCAGCCGCATCCCAGAAACCCCATACCACCCCGGAGGAACTGGAGCAGGCGGAAAGTAATCGTGCACACGTGCTCGCAGCCTGGCTGCGGCAAGACGTACACGAAGTCGTCGCACCTCAAGGCTCACCTCCGCACGCACACGGGCGAGAAGCCGTACCAGTGCAGCTGGAAGGGCTGCGGTTGGAAGTTCGCGCGCTCGGACGAGCTGACTCGCCACTACCGCAAGCACACCGGCGACCGCCCGTTCCAGTGCCGCCTCTGCGAGAGGGCGTTCTCGCGCTCCGACCACCTGGCCCTCCACATGAAGCGCCACATGACGATGTAGCGGCACACGACGACCGCAGATACCAACAGAACTAGTCAGCAGGGCCAGCCAGCACCTTCTTGCATGTGGCAGTGACGCCTCTCTGATGTGCCATGTACAAATCTTGTAAATATCAGTCGATCTTGCCAGCGCTTGTACAAACATACATACATATTTGCATACTCTGTAGTGTAGTGTGTAGCCTCCATGCATTCTCTTTAAAATAAATGTATTTCATATTTTAAACGGTTAACCATCTCACGTCCAAAATCCAAATTCAGTTGCAGGCTTCACAAGTGGTTCTGGAGGTGGCATCGCCTTTGCAGGTCAGCAGACAGCCGCCATCACCGTCTTCTTGTCTTTGGTCAGACGACATACACGCAAACCTCGCTGAATTTTATTAAATAACTTGGAGCATAATCCTGTAAGACAGGGCTCCAAAATTGGCTTACAATTCAGCTGAATCGGTTGGAATATAAAATGATGGCTGTCTTCTGGCAGACGTTTCAGAAGTACTTGCTGTCTGTGATGATGGGAGCAGCAAGCACTTGTGAAACGTCGATGAACTTCTACCAGACTACGCGGCGCTGCAACCCTTAAGACAGGCCGTGATAACCTGAAATCCTTCCACTACAAAACAAACGTTCCAGCTTATTTTGTATAGCAGTGGCGTAGTAACAAGGATGTGTAGTTAATGAAATGTGGTTTGAGAGCGCTGTTCGTTTTATATTTGTTGGTCCTTTTGACTGCAGACAGCGGATGGCGGTAATCACTTATCGAGAGTCGACCTTGATGGACCTTCTATTAATCACAGTTGGAAAGAAACAAAAGTCAGTCGCACTTTTTTCTCGCTTGACGTAGAATAGACCCCACAGAAATGTGAGATGTTATCGGCGGACTCGACGCCTGTGCGACATTCCAGCGGTCCGCATATTTCAAGCCGTGAGCTGCAGCTTGTCTCATTTCAACAGCTGTGAACATCTCTCTTCCCAGCGCCAGAACACGGGCGACATCACCTCCAACCTGTCACCCGTTCCACCTTCGTTTGTTTTTATTATCCTCCTTCCTCTCACCACAAGATGTATCCCCGCACGACCAGTTCTAAAGCAGAGTGAACAACGCTTTGTAAATCTTTGATTACACGAATCCCAAAGCGGACGCATCGGGCGAATTCCTTTTTTATTTCTCTCTTACTAGTGAAGTAAAGTATCCGGCCTGGAACCGGTATGAGACGGCCCCTGTCCTCGTGTCGAGCGTCTTCCTCGCCCAGTTCTTATAACCCGCAGGATCGCCCTCGTCAACAGAGGGAGCTGACGGACCCTCAAGCCAGGAGCGCAGATCAGTTCTTCAAGACGTGGAAAACGGGCGGTGGTGGGCGAAACCGAATTAACGTTACCTGGCAACGAGCGTGACAAATGTACTTGAAAGAGAAAAATACACAACTCCGAAACATTCCTTGAAAGAGAAAACAACTTTTACACTGCAAGCCACGAATTAATACAGGAAAACGTCTGTTAAATGAAGCTGTTTCACGCGTTCACGTCTGTACAGCAAAACCATGGAAATCTCCGAGTGATAACCGAGGGCGCAAATTTTGAAAAAGTGGCGACACACAGAGACGAGAAGAATGAGGAATGAGTGATCGGTTGTGAGTGGGCGAGTGGACGAGTGGCTGAATGGGTAGGAGTGAGAGTGACTGAGCGGGAAATTGAGTGAATGGGTGGGCAGGAGCAAGTGGGCGAGTGGGTGGGAGTGAATGGGTGAGTGGCTGAGCGAATGAGTGGGTTGGAGTGAGTGGGCGAGTGACTGAATGGGTAGGAGTGAGTGGGAGTGAGTGGGCGAGTGACTGAGCGAATGAGTGGGTGGGAGTGAGTGGGTGGGAGTGAGTGGGTGAGTGGGCGAGTGACTGAATGGGTAGGAGTGAATGGGAGAGTGACAGTGGGTGAGCGGGTGATTGAGTGAATTAATGGGCAGGAGTAAGTGGGTGGGAGTGAATGGGCGAGTGACTGAGCGGGTAATTGAGTGAATGAGTGGGCAGGAGTGAGCGGGCGAGTGGGTGATAGAGTGGGCGAGTGGGAATGGCCGGGTGAATAGCGCGACACCAAGAAAAAAAGAAGTTTATCTGATTTAATAAAATGTATTGTATTCAATGACATGAAATGCAAAGCAGGAGACGAAAAAGACAGCTGATCAGAACGTATGTTACTGGACACTCAACAACGTACCCCTGATTGAGTTTGTTAAACGACTCCATGTCAGCCGTCTGGGCGAGATACCTCAACATCTGACTGGAGAAAACGATTCCTTCTTCAAAACCCCGTGCAGGTGCAAACACGGGCATTAACGTCGTAGTGAAATTCGGAAATGACCTCACGCAGTCGATCAACCCGGGTCACGGGAATCATAATAATTCAATCGATGCTTACGCAACAAAGCCAATTACAGTCAAGCACGAAAAGAACGGGATATTCCAATAAGTGATTAATGTACCGAAGTCTACAGACGTACGAGATGGAACAATAACGTAATAATAGGGTAGAAATGTACAATACGAAGTCTGTGGAGTTTAGTTTTAAGTGCGTGAAGAATGTCAGTGTTCTTGCTAATAGCGCTGTCAGCAGAGACGCGTCTAGCTGAGGGACGGATCTTGAAAACGCGATAAATCATGAACGTAGAGTAGCCTCTGATTATCCTCGTTACCTAGTGCGTATGCGCACTGACAGAATGAACTTTAGATGAATAATTTTGTTTTCAAGAACAACAATAATACCTCACGCGCAAATAATTTGAGCCGAAGCTGAGAACCTGGACGAACGCAACTTTCTGAGATGTCAGCATGGCGGCTGCGGACCAAAGCACAGGGTGATTCATAATTTCCTGACACATTGCAAAAAATTGCTAGACTTGAATGGGGCAATGGATGATAACATAGGACATGCCGATAGAAAGAGAAACTCTCAAAGTTTATTTTACATTCCTCATAAATGCTCTGTGTGTCCGCCCTTTGTGACACGGCAGACGTCAAGCCGATAATCCAATTCCGCCCGTACCCGCTGCAGCATGTCACGATCGATTTGTGAGATGGCAGCGGTGATTCGTCTTCGTAGTTCAGCCAGAGGCGGTAAAAAGACCTGGTGCTTAACGTAGCCGCATAAGAAGAAATCACATGGCGTCAGGTGATCGGGGTGGCCAACGAAACAGCGCATGGTCACTTAGTATTTATGAGGTATGTAAAATAAACTTGGAGCGTGTTTCCTTCTATCGGCATGTCCTATGTTACGAACCATTGCCCCATTCAAGTCCAGCGATTTTTTGAAATGTGTCAGGGAATTATGAATCACCCTGTATTTCAGCTGGTGACGGCAATCACTCCAGAACGAAAGATCCTTGAAACCTACGGACCTCCTGTCATCCTTCGGAATCCTAAAACGTAGTACTAATTACCGCAATGCATTGTGTGACTCACAGAGGGCGCGGGATGAGCTCCGACGAAGACGTCCGTTTGAATCTGACACACAGACGCCAAAAAGACAAATGGCGGTCGTTTTAGAGATTTGATTAGTCTTCACAGGCCTGTTATTTAATGTTACGTCATTTCTTTAAAATTAATTTTAATATTATCGTCCCGTCTACTCCCGTGGGGCTCACGTACCAAAGTTTTGTACAATTTTCTCACC